TGTTGAGTAGGCATCTTCAGTATTTAAGCAACTAATGACCTGTGACTGCCAAGCCTTAAAATCTCCTGTGCCCCTTCCTCTTGCCTTGGTCTCCTGACTCTATTAAGAAACAAAAATCTAGGGACTACTGAGATAGCTCAGCAGTTAAGTGTACTGTTGCTCTTCATGACAACCTGGGTTTGAGTCCCAACACTCACATGGCAGCTCACGACCATCTGTAACTCTAGTTCCAGGGAATCCAGCATCCTTTTCTGGCCTCCACAGGCATCAGGAATGCATATGGTGTAGAGATATACATGTAGGCAAAACACCCATACACACAAAAAAACAAAAACACAAAAATACAAGTCCAAGTCAGGTATGGTGACACACATCTTTAATCCCAGCACTCAGGAGACAGAGGCAAGTGGATCTCTGAGTTTGAGGCCAGCCTGGTCTACAGAGCGAGTTCCAGGATAGCCAAAGATGTTTTGCAGAGAAATCCTGTCTTGAAAACAAACAAACAAAAGTCTGTTTATGAAATAGGCCAAGCCGACATTTTCACAATATGTTGGGTGGCATTTTGGTTTATAATGAAAATTTGTTCCTCCTAACTCTTCCTAAGATGCTGTTCTCAGATGTCCTGCTCATTTCATAAGGAAATAACTCAAGATGATTAGGATCAATAGCAGCAGGAATATCTCTCCCAAGACAGTGGCTGAATAGCAGAGAGCTGGAAATGATCAAGTAAGACTTTTAGGGTTAGAGATGGCTCTGGGTATACAGGTAGAGAGGGTCTTGTATCTACCAATGCACAAAGACTGAATGAAGATGAGTGAGAGATGCACAGGAAGTGAGTAGGTAGGCTGGCTGCTCCCGAAAGCTCATCACTCTTGAAATATTTTGCAAAAGTGAGTGAGAGAAATATGGGATTTTTTTTTTAACATTTATTTTTATTTATGCATATGTATATCTGCATACGGGTATATTCACATGAACGCAGCCACCAGTGGAGGCTAAAAGGTGACGATCCCCTGTAACTGGAGGTACAGATGGTCGTGAGGCACCTAATGTGGCTGGTGGCAACTAAACTTGGATCCTCTGGAAGAGCAGCCAGTGCTCTTAACAACTGACCATTTCTCTAGCCCCTGAGATAATTTTCATTATCAGAACTGAAAGTACCAAAGGCAGCTGAGGCTTGGATTTTGCCAAGCACATGTTGACCACTAGGCCTCCCTGATCTGGCCTTGCAGGATTTCTGAAGCACTCCAGGGGCTCATTTATAACACTGTATTCTTTCTTTGCAGCACGTGGACACAGGTAACTCTTACCTTTGTGGGTACCTGAAGATTAAAGGCCTTACAGAGGTGAGTGCTTATTCCAGTTCTGGGTTTGGAAAGTAGTGGCTTGTTTAGCACCTTAGAGAGTCCAGAGCAGTAAGTAGTCCCATGTTGAAATTCTTGGACTGTGTGGACCATAATACTGCAGTTTTGACTGTCCATTTGCAAGTGTACACAGTCACAGTTTAACCCCTTTGGTCCTGGGTATGGAACTTGGATGAATCGAAGGCTTAGCACGCACTCAACCACTGAGCTACACCCACAACCCTCATAGATCACTGCGTGATTGATTAGTCATTTTTTTATGATTGTTTTTTGAGACAGAATAGCCTAGATTGGCCTCAAACTTGAGTTACCCTGTCTCAGCCTCTGGAATGCTAAGATTACAGCTATGCCCCACCATGCCTGGCAGTCTTAATCCTTTTTTAAGAAAACTTATATGGACTGGAGAGATAGCTCAGCAGCTAAGAGTGCTTGCTAACCAGATTTCAGATCACAGCACCCACATAACAAGCTGTTTTCATGGTACTTTTTTAAGGGTGTATTTATTTTATGTATATGGGTGTTTTGTCAGCATGTATATCTGCACACCGGAAAAGGGCATCAGCTCCCATGGGACTACAGTTATCGACACAATTACAGATGGTTGTGAGCCAGGGAACTGAACTCAGGACCTCTGGAAGAGCAGTCCGTATTACTTAACCACGGCCTCATCTCCCCAGTCCTCCAGTGCACTTTTGTAAACCCACCTCCAACTTAGGCAGAGACTGAATCATCACTGGAGCTTGCTGGCTTCCAGCCTAGCCAAGAACATGAACTCTGGGTTCAGGAAGAGACTCTGCCTCAAAGGACTATGTAGAAAGTGGTAGAAGAGGATGGCTGGTACCCTATTTTAGCCTTCAAGCACACAAACCTATATAAACATGTGTACACACTCTCACAGACACAAACGAAAGTCTTGGAAAAATAGGGAAAGCGAGCCAGAGAGGTAGTTCAGAAGTTAAGATCACTTGCTGCTCTTGCAGATGACCCAGGCTTGCTTCCTAGGACCCACATCAGACAGCTCACACACAGTTAACCCCAGCTCCAGGGACTCCAGCACCCTTTTCTGGACCCCATAGACACATGTGCATAAAGAAATAATACAACATCCACCCTTATCATAAATTTAACAGTCTTTGTGATAGTCATCACTTGTACAAGAGCCAAGGTTTTTGAAGTTATTTAAGTTCTGTGGTTCAGCCAGTTGTGGTGCATGCCTTTAATCCCAGCACTGGGAGGCAGAGGCAGACAGATCTCTATCTGAGGCCAGTCTGGTCTACAGAGTGAGTTCCAGGACAACCAGGGCTGCATGGAGAAACCCTGTTTCAGAAAAACCAAATAAGTAAGTAAATAAGTCCTATGGTTCATTGGAAGAGTGAAAAGCTAGAGTCTAGTTGTCAGCCTGATGAGTGACAGCAGATCATTCTGTCATCTACTCCAGCTTTCTGCTCCTCAAGACTCCTGAGATTTAGAAGACAAAGAAGAGCATCTCTTCTTTCCATTAGTGGCTAAACAGGAAGAAAAAGGATGCCTAACTGGCCGCTGAGTTCCCTGCCAGGAGGGTCTAGGCACAGCCCCATTGCAGCTTTGCATGACTTTTATTTCTTCGTAGAGTCCTGATTGGCCAGCAGGGCGGAGCTGGGCTGAACGGAGCCTGTTCACCTCACTCAGCCCATTTCTGGATCTGTGACCTTTAATTTCTCAGGTCTCTTCCTTTCCCCCACTGCTCTGCTTCATCAGATAACTCATCCAAGTGGGGTGCATGTTAAGTAAGTGTTAGGTGAGAATGTAACCCAGATGAAGAGTGCTGCTATGATGCCCCACAGGGCCTCATCTTCTGCTTGTCTATGCTAGAAGCTGGAATGAGGATTCCCTGGGAAGTTTATTATAACAGAAGTTATCTTCCCCATCTCTAGAAACATATTCCATCAGAGAAGTACAGAAGTGATAGCAAAAAAAAAAAAAATTGCTTTGATTTGTCCTAGGAGAAAACATGTAGTAAAACAGTATATGCTCAATTCATAAGGTGCAGTGCATTTGTTTATGGAGTATAGAGCATAACTCTTTAAAGAAACTAACAAAATGTGTAATGTTCAGAACATTATAACAGTGACTCCAAAGCCAGTCACTTGGTTTGTAGGAAACTGCTAAGAAATTGCACGTAGCACTAGAAATCTGGGAACAGTACACAGAAGTGCTGACAGCTAAGAGCTCTTCCAGAACACGTTTCCCTACCAAGGGAAGCTCTTCCCTGAGGGAGGGTGCTGGCATGGCCTTGTGCTTGGGCCAGCCAGCCCACAGGAATTGATCTTTCCTGGCAAATATCAGATCTGTAGGCAGAGATGTCTTACTGGGCCCGTGTCCTTCCAAAGTAGTCTTGCCCAGGTACAGAGTGGAACTATTTAAGAAGGATTGGGAAGTGTGGCCTTGTTGGAGGAGGAGTGTTGCTAGGGGTGGGCTTTGAGGTTTCAAAAATAAATCCATACCAGGCCCATTTAGTCTGTCTGTCTATCTCTGTCTCTCTGTCTGTCTCTGTCTCTCTCTCTATGTCTCTGTCTCTCTCTCTATGTCTCTGTCTCTCTGCCTGCAGATCAGCGTGTAAAGCTCCCAGCTACTTCTCCAGCACCACTCCTGCCTGCTTCCCCATGATGATCATAGACCAACCCTCTAAAACTATAAACAAAGCCCCCAGTCAGATGCTTTCTTTTACAGGAGTTGCCTTGGTCATGGTGTAGCTTCCCAACAACAGAGCAGTAACTAAGACAGGAGGGAATTCTGAAAAGATAGTAAAGCTCAGAAACAACATAAACATAATTTCCTGTTTAAAATATATGGAGGCTAGCTGTGGTGTCACACACCTTTAATCTCAACTACCCATGCCAGCCTGGTGGACCTAGTGAGTTCCAGGCCAGCTAGCGCTAACCAGTAAGACTCTGTCTCAAAATAAAAACAAAAACAAACAAAAAAATTTATATGGAATGCTAGAGAGACGGCTCAGCAGTTAAGAGCACTGGCTGATCTTCCAGAGGACTGGGATTTGGTTCCTAGCACCTACTTAGCAACTTACAACCATCTTCAATTCCACTTCCAGAGGATCCAGCACCCTATTCTGGCCTCCACAGGCACCAGGCACACACATGGTACACAGACATGTGCAGGCAAAACACCCACACGCATAAACATAATAAGTCTTAAGAGGTATGTAATCTTTGAAATATTCTATGCACTTCCTGGCTTATATAGTCCTTCCCAAAGATGGATTAGTGTAGTTTTTATCGTAAGTTAGATTTCCCTTTAGGAAAATCTCCCATCTCATTTTTTCAGTCTGTATATATATACATACCTGTATGAGAAACCCAGCTCAGCATTGTTAGTTAGTGTAGGAGTTTGAGGTTTTGGAGGTGTTAGATTTGTGTATTTTTAAAGTTCACTGTTAAGAAATGGAATGGGAGCCAGGAAGTGGTGGCTAATCCCAACACTCGGGAGGCAGAGACGGGTGGATCCCTGAGTTCAAGTCTAGCCTGGTCTGCATAGTGAGTTCCAAGTCAGCCAGAACTAAAATGCCTTTAAAAAAAAATCAAAAGAAAAAAAATAGGTATAAATGAGAAACAAGGGAGCTTCAGGGTACTTGAAAGGTTGACCCAGGGTCAAAGGAGACTCAGCTCTGGAGCTTTTTCTGGGGTGTACCCTAGAAAACAGCATGATAAGCTATACTCTGCTTTGACTGTAGAGTATGCAGAGTTCACTGTGGTAGACAACATCCAAATTCTTTTCTAGGAGACCAGAACATAGCAAGTAATGGCAAAGTGGAGCTCTTTGCTCTGTCAAAGTCTCCAGAGTTCAGAGCCCCTTCCTTCACTGTCTGGGCAGCTGAGTTCAGGTTCATTTCCATAGCCTGGAGGCAGAGCAGTGGATCCAACAGTGGTTTGGTTTGTAGTTGATCTTGTCAAAGTATTAGAAGTTATAGCCAGGCAATGGTGGCACACACCTTTAATCCCAGTACTCTGGAGGCAGAGGCAGGTGGATCTCTGTGAATTCCAGGACAGCCTGGTCTACAGAGTGAGATCCAGGACAGCCAGGGATATACAGAAAAACCTTTTCTCAAAAAAGAAAAAAGAAAGAAAGAAAGAAGTTATAGTAAGATTGGTTATCTTTGAAAGCTGAAATAGGCAGGAAGCAAGAGAGCATGTGTTGGGTGGCCTGAGGTCTTAGGTCCCATGAACAGGACCAAAATAAAATGTTTATTCAGTGTCTGGGTGTGTGGCTTAGTGGGAGTGTGGGGAGCCCTGGGTTTAGATCCCTGCATGCTGCAAACAAAAACAACCAGAAATTCGCATTTAATGTCTTGCTTGGATATTTGTTTTTGCTGTAGGAATATCCAACCCTTACAACCTTCTTTGAAGGAGAAATAATAAGCAAAAAACACCCTTTCTTAACTCGTAAGTGGGACGCAGATGAAGACGTCGATCGGAAACACTGGGTGAGTAAGGCTGTGCTCTGCCCTGGGCAACAGGAGACATCTGGAGAATGACGGGCCTGGACCTGGGGCCTGGTCCCCAGCAGGAGTTACTCAGAACCCATTCCTACATGTATACCAGGTGGTGAGAACAGTCCTTCAGTCCTGTACCCAGCTCTGTGTGGTGTTAGAGCCTGGGCAGTGGCCTGTTCTGCCATCTTCTGTCTGTTCTTCCTTCTGATCACTTGTGTATGGTGAAACCCCAGGAAGCGAGTAGCAGTTGCCTCGTGTTCTGGATGGCCCGCAGTGGGGACGCTGTTCACAGAGCCCAGCAAGGGCAGAGTGTGTTGCTTCTTTCTGTTCATCCTAATCAACTTAACCTACATACCATCCAGACACTCTTGAGAAATTCAGATTCCCTGTCCTTAGCAGTCACATGAGCAATGCCCTTATTCCCCAGTGGTGAGCGTGTCAGAACAAGTTAGAGTTACTGCCCTGGGCTGCTCTGGGGTCTTTTCCCTGGTTTATGTTTGGGTTTTTACCTGTCTTATATCTTCAAGTTTTTGTCCTGTCACACCAGCCTTTGTGGAGAGGTGTGTGTGTGTGTGTGTGTGTGTGTGTGTGTGTGTGTGTGTGTGTGTGTTTTGAGATAGGATCTTCCTCTGTAACCCAGACTGGCTTGAAAACCCTCAGTGACCCTCTTGCTCAGCCTCCCACGTGCTGCAGTGACTGGTGTGTGCCACCATGCCTAGTTGGTTTGATTTTTGAGATAAGGTCTTGCTATGTTTACCTTGAGTTCACAGTGTGGGATAAACTACCTCTACTACCTGATAAACACTTTCCTGTTGTAGTCTAGAATCAGACATGCTATTGCACTCTCAGATTTACCTGTCAGCAACACTTAAAGCTGGGGATTCCATATGCTTCATATCTTCATGACAACATTTGTGACTTAACATATCAAATTATAGTATAGAGCTTTGATTCCTCTGTATATTAAACTTTCACTGTTGGCCTTTCTTCAGATGTTTTCTTACACAAAGTATGTGCTTATTTAAAAATATTTGAAAAGCAAACTAGAAAGGAAAAATCTGTAATAACAATGCAGAGCACTAAGACAAATACTTTGTCTTGACCCTCTTTTGGGTCCTTTTGTATCCATGAGTTTGCACTTTGTATAATCAACTGACTATAGATTGAAAATGTTTGGGGACAGTAACTCATTGATTCTCCCATGCAGTACAAGAAAATGTTAGTAAAAAATATTCTGTCTAAGCCGGGTGGTGGCGCATGCCTTTAATCCCAGCACTCGGGAGGCAGAGCCAGCCAGATCTCTGTGAGTTCGAGGCCAGCCTGGTCTACAGAGTGAGATCCAGGAAAGGCACAAAGCTACACAGAAAAACCCTGTTTCTAAAAACAAAAACAAACAAACAAAAAAAAAAGATTCTGTCTCAGACTGAGGAGATGGCTCAGCAGTTAAGGACACTGACTGCTCTTCCAAAGGATTCAGATTCTGTTCCCAGAACCCTGTGACAGCTTACAACTCTCTGTAACTCCAGTTCCAGGGCCTATGACACCCTCTTCTGACCTCCTTGGCACACACATAAAATAAAAATAAAACTTACAAATATGTTGCCAGGCATGGTAGCCTATGCCTTTAATTTCAACACTCTGGAAGCAGAAGCAGGCAGACCAATGTGAGTTTGAGACCAGCCTGGTCTACATAGTGAGTTCCAGACCAGACAGAGCTATACTGTAAAACCCTTTAAAAAAAAAAAAAAAAAGAAAGAAGAAGAAAGAAAAGCCAGCTGGTGGCACACGCCTTTAATCCCAGCACTTAAGAGGCAGAGGCAGGCGGATCTCTGTGAGTTCGAGGCTAGCCTGGTCTACAGAGTGAGTTCCAGGACAGCCAAAGATACACAGAGAAACCCTGTCTCAAAAAACTGAAAAAAGTGTGTCTCTACTCAGCACATACAAGCTATTTTATTTTCATTTTTTTTCTGCACAGTATAGTACCGCTGTCTACAAGCATCCACACTGCGTTCCAGTTTCCTAGAGACAGTTGAAAGTGTATAGAAAGATAATGTATACAGATTGAGGCATAGTATCTGAGGGATTTGAGTGTCTGTACAGGGTCCTGGAATCTGTCCTCTGCAGGTACCAAGAGATGACTACATATGCATATATCACCCCTCTTCGATTGCTACCTGAGTAGCTGGCACAACCAATGCCATGACACAAGAACTGGCTTTCCTATACCTACTCTTCTCTGATTGGACACTTACTCTCAATCTGTTGTCTAGATAGGCCTTGAACTTGGAATACTCCTGTCTCAGCCTCCCAAGGGTTGCCGTGTTTTATATATGTGTGTGTGTGTGTGTGTGTGTGTGTGTGTGTGTGTGTGTGTGTGTGT